TGTCCGAGTTAGAGAGGTTTTACTGTACTGTGCCTTCGTAGGAAGTAAAGGAGGGACGAGAAGGTTAGGAAACAATAAACTGTCGTGCAAGATGTAACATTGGTTTCCATTGAGTAGTTATAACACCACTCATGGGGTTTCTTAAAAGACAGAGGTCTGGCTGCTTATCAGCAGACCTCCTTTGCGCTGATTGGTCACTCACAAATAGCAGAACTCGACTTGTTTAAAAAAATAATAATTAGAAGGTTATGTGTTAGTTATGTTGCATATGTAAGAAACTCGTCTTTGTTTTCTAGTTGAGAGACAAACATATTTGTTGAATTCTAGGACAAAAGAAGGCTGAGATAATTAACTCAGTAACAGGCAAGGGTGGTCAAGGTGTTGCATCTCGACTGTCCAAGAAATGCCTGTTCCAACGTTTCACCAATCTTGTGGGAAGAATTGGATCAATAAAAGGAATGACTTCTGAATCATGTCCAAATCTGTACTCGGGTGCAAAAGCAGCAGAGATTATAAGGTAAGTCCAGTGTGCCCCCTTCCCACATCCAGTGAGTGAAGAGTACGGAGTAGAATAGTAGGAACAGTTAACACGAACTTAGGTAGCTGCATAAATAGATGAAATAGTTCTGTAGAAAATAACAGTTGGAAAGACAGGTGTACGTCAAGTTTCCAAGTCAAAATTAACCAAAGCTGATAAAGAGTTGTGTAGTTTCATAAATTCATAATTTTAAGTAATGATTTATTATGGAGGATTTAATGTTCTCGTGGCTGTATTTTGAGTTGTAGTGCTATGGCGCTACAACCATCTTCATGAATTATGTTCTTTAGGATGTGGACTTTTCATTTCGTTTTTTATGTAGAGTCTCTAACATTTAAAACTAGTTGTCTGACCACTCATATATTTGCATTGAATAATGCAACTTGTTTTAATATCTCGTTCTCCGCGTCACATGTCAAAGTGGGAATATCATTTGATTGGGAACATGTGCAATAGCAGTGGTAAACTTTTGCTCCTTCTATAAAGGTTATTTGTATCCTCTAAACTTGTATATGTAAAAGAGGATGGCTAAGAAGTGAACTGATTTCCAGTTTACAAGAAAACTATTTGTGATTACTGATACACAGAATTATATCCTTTGCCATATTCCTTGTTAATGTGTAGTGCAAAGTGTTGAATTTTGCCATAATCTCTTATTACAGTAGAGTGAATTGTTCTTATTGCTGTGTATTGCAGATGGCAAAGGAGCAGCTGGTGCGTGCATTCGAGACAGCTAAACTGGGGTTTACCTTGAAGGATAAGAGTAGTTGCTCAGTCCTCCGTCACAGTTGCGCCCAGAAGCTGAATCCACACTTCGCACCAGTAAAAGCGGAGTCTGGTACATTCATACTTGTTGACTTAAGTGTCTCTTGTGTCTTCGCTTACTGTTATCAGTGGAAGAATATTTATATTGTTACAATCAGAACTGAACTACTCTGAGGCAACGTGGACACCCATAAATTATAAATAATTTTTATTCTGTCAATTTTGGTCTCCTGTTTTGTAACACCATGTCGACTTGTAGATAGATGCAAACATTTTAGAGGAAGATATTGTCTCCATCTTCCAGGCTAAAGAGTTATTTCAGAGCAGTCTCCTTCCACATTTTACCGTGCAACGATAATGAGCTGTTCTGTAATAATGAATCTCACTGGCATCTTAAATGTTTATATAGTTGCCTAGACTGAATTTTTTCTTATTCCCGCTTTACTTCTTCTGTGAAATTTATGTGTATAATTATTTTCTTGGTATAATAATTCAGTAATAAACATATTTTGAATATAGTGCAATGCTAGTGAATTCTAAATATTCTGTATCATTTCTAAGATTAGGTCTGTTATAGTGTGTTCTATTCCTGGGACATGTTTTTATGGTACTAATTTATGTATAGGTATTTTCTGAATGTAATATGACTTGTCCAGTAATGGATGAAATTATTATTTTATAATTTGTATTCAGTTGAGTACAAAATTTAAAAAGGTGACTTACTTTTGATTGGTAATAAAATAGCAACAAGTGGACTGTATATTGCTTGAAAAAGACGTGTGTTCCTTTCTACAACCTTTTAACTCCTCTCTATTCCTGGGACATGTTTTTATGGTAATAATTTATGTGTAGGTATTTTCTGAATGTAATGTATAGTTATATGACTTGTACAGTAATTCATGGAATTATTATTTTATAATTTGTATTCAGTTGAGTACAAAATTTAAAAAGGTGACTTACTTTTGATTGGTAATAAAATAGCAACAAATGGACTGTATCTTGCTTGAAAGAGATGTGTTTTGTGATATAATAATAAGGAAATTAAAATGTTAAACTGTTTGTGAAACTTGGTCTGTTACTGTAAACGTATTGAGGGTGCTCAAGAAAAGTGCTGTTTAGAATATTTGGACGTAAGAGGGATGGTGTGACTGGAGGCTGAAGAAAACTGCATAATGAGGAATCCCATAGTTTGTACTCTTGACCATATGTTGGAGTGAGATGGATGGGACATACATCATGTATGAGGCAATGGACAAAGGAAGGAGGTTGGTGTTAAATATTAAACATAATTAGGATTTCAGATTATGGTGTTGAGTGTGAAGATAGCTATCCTCTGGGTTGTATGAGAGGTAGCAGAGGTATTCACTGCCTCTCTGTAATGATGGAAGCAGCAAGAACTATGAAACGTCGGTAAACATCTACCAGACTACATAAGGCTACAATTCTAAAGACAGCCAACATCAGTAAACAATGTTACCGACAAACTCGAAGATTAAGCCTTAAACGTTTTGCTGTGGATCATGTTGATAGATGGCAGTAATGTCAAACTGTAAACTACATTTGGTATACCAACAAAATTAACTACTGACCTTTTTTTCAGGGTGACTGGCATTACTGAAATATTGTTCTATCGGCCGTATTATTTTTTAAACAACGAGATGTTCATCTTTCCAGATTATCTGCCTTCTAATATTAAATAATGAGTTCGTGCTCTCGCGGATCTCCCAGATAATGGAGGAAACGTCAGTCAGTTTCTACTATTCGGAACTTTTCAGAGGACAGTTATTCTTCTTCCTGTGGCTCCACAACCCAATATGGGTCTTGACCGCCTCAATTTCTACTCAATCCTGATCATAATCTCACGCTTTTATTCAATTGTACCATAATACTGTTCATTAATACCATCTTGCCATGTCAAAGTACATTTCTTTCCCGCAGATGAACTATGGGTTGGCATTATTGACAGTTGAGCGCGACATAACACTCCATATGTTATGTTGGTATAGAGTGTGAGGTTATCGATGTCTTCAATGGTCCGTGACATAACCTGTTCCAAACACAAATGTAACATGAATGACCACGAATGAAATGTGACAGTTTCAGTTGAAATGTTGATGTGTTTACGTTGCATATATAGAATACTCTGGATTTGCCATGAGAACCTTTAATCTTGCAGGGCAGAGGAGTGTTGTGGTTTGTATTTTATGGGGGCTGCCAAGTTTTGACTGTGCTGAAAAACTTGATTTAGCCTATTTACTGCTCAAGAGGATATATATTGGTTAGTTTGCTGATAATTACATGTGAGGAAGTTTGTGTGCAGTTGTTAGGAAGTATAAAAATCCAGGCTTTTAATGTTCTGCCTATACAAAGTAAACTATGAAGCAAAAAATTGCACAGCCATGTATGGGAGAGGTTGTGGCTTCTCAAGTGTAGTGATACAGCAGTAAAATCCAGTGTTTTTATGTAATGAGAAATGTTTATAGCAGTACTGGTAATACCTGTCCCTCCTTTTCTACTCCCAAGAATGGAGGTCATTGTCTTTCTTTCCATCACTACTATTACCTGCTTTCCCTTGTACTTTCAAGATGCCATCAAAAAGTAATAGACCAGACACTGCATGTAAACAACAACATAAAGGTTATAACTGCAATAAATAACTTTTCTTCTATGTAAGAACATATGGACATCCCTCCCAAACATTATTATCAGCTTGAGACTTCTGGATCTCTTATTTGGATATTTGTATGTTGTCATGCCTAAATCTTTATCCCTGTTTAACTTTACAAAACAGACCCTTCAAAATCTATCCTCCATTTTGGAGAACTCTGATATATTTTAATTCCATTGTGTGTATGAATGACAGTGAAATTCTTATTTTATACTTTTCAAAGTATTTTACTATTGAAGAAGATGAATTTGTAGAGATATGTAATCTCAGAGTTGGAAAGAACCTAATCTTAATTATTCCTAGTTTCTTGGAACACGATTGAAGGTATGATAACGCATGTAATATAAACAAAAGTTCTGTTCTCAATGTAGGCAGTTTTCCAGTCTAATATTAAAAAGTTGTTTTTATCAGAAAGATTATGATATGTTTATATGTTCAGTAAGACAAATATAATACTTCACTAAGGTCTTCAAGCATACTGGCAATATTTTAATAATGTCATGGTGCCCACAGTAAAATCCAATTAGGATATTTGCTGACAGACTACCGACGTATACACCATATCATTCTGTCCAATGTTTGCGTGATAAAATTATTTGAGATCATAGTGGCAATTATTCAGTCTATTCACATGCCATAATGCAAGAATTATTGTTGTAAGTTTCTGTGTGAACAACCAATTAGGATGTAAGACTTGAGGTTCTCACAGCGGTGAGTATGAAGATATCCATCTTCTGGGTTATTGCGCTGTATAGTCTAGTCGATGTTAACCAACGTTTCAGAGGTCATACTGCCTCCATCATCAGGGCGATGAATATACAGCGCAACAACCCAGAAGACGGAAATCTTCATACTCACCGCTGTGAGAACCTCAAGTCTTATATATTTGAATTGTTAACTTCTGTATGCTTTTGTAGTGGACATGACAAAAATTTGTCTTGTGAAAGTGGAAGGTGCACGTTCATTGGCTACAGTAGAAGTGTTAACTGTGTGGTGAAGTAAAACTGTGTGTTGTTAGAGGAGTGTGATGCATATATGGAGGAATATTGATTTCTTGAATATGAATGTATTTCGTGTTTCTAGGAGTAGCAGATTACAAGAAATAGATTGATCTTTCAGATTCTGAGCTTCATTCTGTATGTCACCTGACCTGCGTACTGCTTGCCAGAGTATGTGGGGCAACACTTGGCAGACTGACTTGATTTCAGAACAGGAAACCTGCTGGGAGAATGAAGGAAACTGGTGTCTGCAAGATATTCATCTCTGTCTGAACTTGGCATGCGTTGTGTAAGTACATGAGCAATAGGATGTATTTGATGTGCTTGTCGTGTGAGAGAGATGAGTCTGTCCAATTTTATGTGGTACTTGAAATGTTGTGACTGTGAGTGTGAGAGTTGATATGTTGAAAGATCTACGTGCAACGAGGGATTGGCATAATTGCAGTATCTGTGGTGTGCTAGAGACATTCACGACTCTCTAGTGAATATGGGGTTCATAAGATATCAAATTTTGAGGTTAGGTATCGTTTGTAGACGTGGGTGGTGACTATTTGTGAAGTGAGTTTGTTAATTAGAGGTTTTGTTACATGTTTGATGTGTGTAGTGCTGTGGAGCCTTTAATATGATCTGTTTACTAATTAATATTTGAATAAGTGCCAGTGTAAGTAATTTAGTTTTGTTGACATGTGAGTATTGTGCACAGTGACCGGAGCTGCTGGGATATTTTCTGTGCTTTTGGTTAATTTTGAGAGTTTGCTGTGTTGTGCAAGGGGATAGGTTATAAAACATGTAAATTTGGGGTGTGGTGTTCGTTATGAATTTGGATTTGCTTGCAAAATTCACAAGCCCAGTAGATGACTGATAGCGGTGATAGATAGTCTGGTTCGATACAGGTGACAGTTACCGTGTGTCGATAGTTGTCAGGTTTCAGTCTCATGGACATGTGACAATGCTGAGTATTACTTCTGGTATATTGTGGTGGGAATAGGGAGGAGATTTGCATTAGAAATGAGGATTGGTGTGGAGGGTTTGAACCACGTACAGAAATGCAGTGCCACTTATGTGGGTGACAATGTACCAGTGCTGGTGTTTGACAGGATTGTTATTTTATGTGTCTAAATGGTTCTGTAGTCTTCTTAGCTTGGCAAGGAGTAATTTATTAAACCCGTCAGTCAGGCTGTTTATTATGAGGAATGTGGATTTGTGTGTGTGTGTCTGAGAGAAAGGGGCAGAAGTTATTAACCATTTAGTTTAAGTATAGAATTTTAAGAATTTGGAAGAAGAAAGAAGGCACTAATATGCTGACCTCAGTGCTGTAATGGGTTTAAAGAATAACATTAGAGAGAACGGCGTAGATGAGTGGTTATGAAATGCTGAGATGGTGGGTTTGCCTTGAAATCTGACTGAAAACATCAAGCAGTAAAGAGTAGCGTGTAGTGAGTGCACCTCTAATGTGTTGTGATAATATTCTAGATTAAATCGCTGTGCCGCTGTGAGGTAATCTTAAAGCTGTACCCATTATAACAGATTAAAGCCTGGTGTCTGTTGTCCGTTACTTGTTGTGTAACGAATGCTTTCAGGATGGCTAGTAGCAACTCGTAACTTACGTGCAATTAAATTTTAAACTTGTTCCCGTTAGTCAGTACAGTCTGTGTCAGTGCAGCAGTGTGAAAGCCTGACATTATTGTCTTGTGACTGCTGTGTTAACATGACACCTGTTCATTGCAATCTCCTTTCTGGTCATTGTTAACGCCTCATATTACAGACAAACCACCGATGTCTAACTCAAAGAAGGACGAAATGAAAGCCTGGTTATTGGAAGTAAACAACCCATTTTGTGACATGTTGAAAGATCAACTGTTCGATTTAATCAAATTAAAAAAGTCAAAGCACAAATGTTATGTGACTGATCAGATTTAGCAGATAAAGAAGGTACTGTACTGAGACTTGCACCGTACCATCCCATTTTAAACGCCATTAAACTTATTTGGGCAGATGTAAAACACTGGGTTGCAATCAAGAACACAACATTTAAAATTAAGGACCATGAGGAATTGTGTCGTCAGAGACTCAAAGAAATTGGGCAAGAGGACTGGAAGAATGTATGTTGGCATGTGGGAAAATTAGAACAAATCTTTTATGAGCAAGAAGGCATAATCGGAAACGCTATTGAACGTGTTATAATTGAAGATAAAGGAGTGGACAGTGATGAATCGAGTGATGTCAGAAAGCGAAGGTCTGTGAGGAGTGAATAATTTGGAAGAGGGCCAAAGAGTTGTGAAGAAGATAAAATTATCTAATACTCTCTGCAGGGTAGTGAAATCGACTTTCCTATTTTATATACCGTGGTGGTATTTTATTTGGAGTGTGCTGTACGCGGCCTGCTTCCAGGAAACTTGTGACTCCCTCCGAGGTTCAAATTCAAAAAGCCTGCCGCCAAAAACGCTCAATCTATCTTCTACTGATCACTCTTTGGCGTGCGACAGGGTGGGGTTGGAGCTGTTATGTGAATACGCGTGGAGTGGCTTGGCTTGGCTTGGCGTTAGTTCTTGGACACAGGTATTAAATCAGAATATTTATTGCAGTAAGGAACCTGAGGTGTACGTTATGATTTCACCTATTGTCATTTGATTATCCTTCAAGACGCTGCAACGTATGTTGATTTTTGTCATTTGAGGTTGTGTTGAGTTGTTTGCGTAAGTTAGGCGGGGGGTGGGGTAATGATAGAACACTGCTAGAAATTGACTACATTGATGATTAACTTCTATTTAGTAGGTAGGATTTATTTCTGGTGTACCTTCATTCTAAGATTTGTAATATGCTCGACCTGGAAACTGAAATATCCCGTTAATGTACCTCAATGCCGAGTGACTGCCGTAGTCGCTACTACATCATCGAGCTGTATGTGACTACGTTTATGCGTTAATATTGTGCGTATTTTACAGTTATAAGTTACACATATCGTTCCGAGAAGTAAATAACCGCTCGAATAGCACGTAATGACAAAAAGCCACTACTTGTCGGTTCATGGTTTGAACGCATATAACCATCTTCATAAAGAGAGGCCTGAGTGGGATATATGTTTGTAACAAGCTTTACTTTTATAAAAAGTCTGGAAGCTCATTGCCCAAGAATCTGTATGTTTTTTTGTTTGGTTATGTATGCATACAGGGAACTGGATATTTTGGATGTGAATACATGCTTTTTGTCATTCTAGGAGCTCAATACTACAGGCTTTCTTGATCCATCAGAGTATCAGAGTCTGCTGAGTGGAAAATTGTGTGTCACCTGTGTTTGCCTCATGATAATATGCTTTCAATTAACAAAGCCACTTCCTAGTAACATTTTCTGGAGCTCAGTTTTCACATCATTGTATTTCTGAAAAGGCAAGGAAAATACCAAGAAAAAATTATGGTCCAAAGCTAATTAAGAGATCAAAGTGGTTAGGGCGAATTTGGTGTCTGCAATACGAAGAAAATGTGATGTTGATGTCAGGAATCCAGTTAACTAGTCTTCACAGGACTTTGTACATTTTTGTTTTCAGGGCTGGAACAATTGCAGCCTGGGCCCTTAATGGTGAGTGCAGAAGTAGTCGGAGCTGGAGTGTAACAGTGATGACGGAGGCAGTATGACCTCTGAAACGTTGGTAAACATCGACCAGACTACACAGCGCAACAACCCAGAAGACAGAAATCTTCATAGTCATCGCCCTGATGATGGAGGCAGTATGACCTCTGAAACGTTGGTTAACATCGACCAGACTACACAGCGCAATAACCCAGAAGACGGATATCTTCAAGTAAGTGCCAGTTTGACCTGGAGCTTTCCTTTCAACTAAAGTTCTTCTTAGGTTGCCAGCCATGTCGTGTGGTTGAAAGGTAATCTTAAGACCTTGCATTCCGTGTAGTGTATTGGAATATAAAACGTGCATACAAACAAAAATGTCTACAATTTGAAGGACGCTAATGACAAACAGGTTTTGACCTCGAGAGGTCATCAGTGTCAAAAAGATTATGGTTTTTAAAAGGCAAGTTCTTTACAAAATCATATTTATGTAACACCTCACTGGACGTTGATTGCTTAGGAGTTGGTGCATTATATCGAGCACTTGGCTATTTTGTCCACCGGTCTGCTTGCCGTTGTTGGTCTGCGGCGAGCCGTAGTTGCGTCGCCTGTGCCTGTGAACTTCAACGATGCGTGGGTGTTCCTGTTGGTTTTAAAAATGTATAGCGTATATATTAACTCTGAAATCAGGGTGGCCAACTATTGCATAAGAAATTTACTTTTTTCTATTTATTGCTAGGTCAAATAACACATCGGAGTCACGGGCCTTGTGTTCATTTATGTTATTTTGGGTTTTGCTAGTTTTGTATATATGGCATTTTACCATTCGAGGCTTTGTTCTCCTCAGTGCTAAAGTGCTCAACACCTTGAGGATGAATGTGTTCCTTAGAAAATTGATTTTCTCGTCTTTCAACCACCTGGCATGGCTGGTAGCCTGAGAGAAATTCTTTATAAGTGAGATGCGTTGTTTAAATGTCGGTTTTATCGTGCAGTGTGGAATAATAACTTTATTCTAATTGTGTAAGATAATGGAAAGAGATTGATTTGTATCCCAAACCATTTGTTTCTTTCTTGGACACTTTCACTATTTTACAATTTCTGTTTTGCGCTCTTTACCTTGATGTCTCCTGTTTAGAGCCATTTACGTAGCAGAATCAAATTAAGTCATGTCCCACGATTTAGTTCTGGTGTTCGGCAGGTGATACCGCAGGTGCCATGACTTGAATAAAAGTCGGCTAGCTGTTTTTGTCATGCCACGCCTCACTTGAGTGAGTGAATGGAATGAAATTGAATTGTCAATTCAGGAGACGATTGTCTGTTATAAAGCACTCGGCATAAAAAGGTCGCACTTTTTGAAACCATGCTTCATGTACTACCACACTGAATGATTTAAGCTTTATGTAAATTTAGTTGGCTTAATGTCCGCTGGCCTAAATTGAGGTTGTCGGTGGCTGGTTTGTGAACTTCAATATGACATGGGTAATACTGTCACCACGGTGCTTGCTTAACAATTCAACTCGTTCATGCCGTACGTAAACTGCGACATGAGACTGCCGGCTTTCATCGATCGGCTGTTATTGATCAGATTTGAAGCAGGAAAGTAACGAGCGTTTTCATAATTTTGTAATGAAACATTTTCCCATTTGTTGGAGTTGATTCGTGTACCAGTAGATGAATATTGAAAAATGCCCAAACTTATATTCTGACTTTCTTGTTGATTTGGATTTATTATTTAAACTGATCTCTGTACTCAAGTGTAGGAAAATTTCTTTGTTATTCTGACAAATTTCTGTTGCTGAATCAAAACCACTTGACCCCAGTGTACCAACTGAGAGGATGAAGGAATAACGTTCATGCAGCAACAAGAAAGTAGTTTTTCACAAATAGTTTGATTTTTGTCATCTTCTTTATCCCCCCCACCCCCACCGAATAGTCTGTCTATACTGAGGATGATGTTATTAAATATGTACAAGAGTCCTATTACATTGAACATATCAGAAATACGGTGTTTTGTAATTTTGATGCAAGTATCACTAAAATGGTGAACAGAAATTGATGTAATCAGAAGTAATGAAGTTGTTTTATTTGATATGGGGGGGGGAATTTTATTCTGGGTCCGGAATAAAGGTTATAATATGAGACCATGGAATTGTGTTTTATAAGCTATTAATTAATTTAGGAATTATCTATATTTACCTCATTTGCTAGGTTAGTAGTTAATGTCAGCCACGTCCCTTTGTATTCTCCTTTGATTTGTGGACGTAGAGTATGAAAGTCGTGTTGGTTTTTGTGGTTGTGATGCCATGTGGCCTCTTAGATAGGCACCAGTGCTTCAGAAGAACATGCCTCCTCCATCTTCAGGGCTGAAGTGTGGTTTTTGTAGAATATGGAAATGTTTCTCAAAAACGTTGGTAGCTACGTATGAGTCCACGTGGTGAATCAACCGGAATGCCAACACCGACATGGACTTAGTCACTGCTGTAACCGTTCGTCAGCTGCTCGTGGTGGGATGTTTAGTTGGGTGAATGGTGCAGATTTTTGTTCAGGGTCACATTTTCTCGGTCCTCAGGACGTGTAACGGCCGAATTGAATATGGCGGTGGAAATATATAGCTCACAAGTTATATCAGTATCAGCGCTGTGTAGAACGTCGCTACGCTCGGCTTCCTCATTTGAGGGTGGTTGTGTTCTAGTCACTGTTTTAACCTCTTTGTTCGGATGTAGAACTTCGCCCTTCACAAAGTGCTTTTGCAAGCTTGGTTTTAATTGTGAGAGAACAGATTTCTCATCACTTTGCGCATTGATGTTATATTTACATCAACTTAAGTGCATGTGTTGACATACGTCTTTTACTTTGCATTGTAAATAATGAAGAAAATCTTAATTAAGACGGTACCCTCGATAATACTCGGCGTGGCCTCGGTCATTTTGGTTCGTTCCAAAATCTTGGTTTATTTTGTGGTTTTGTTTTGCTATTTTAGCTTGGTCTTGGTCCGCTCCAAAATCTTGGTTTGTAATGCGGTTTTATCTGATGACTAACGTTGAGTTTTAATCATCCTTCGAATCGTGTTCGATGTCTGAATGTCTTGTCGAATTGAGATAGCTCTAAACCTCTCCGTTGCGATACCCTCTGGTAGATTTCGTCGCACTTTTCGATTATTATACCAATCATCTGGCATATTCCATGGTGCAGCTCCGTCTCCAGTCAAGAAACTCCAATTCGCTACTTTTTGACTAAGACGATTGCCTCGGCCATCTTCTTTATATAGTTGAAAGCCAAAAACATATGCTGATCCCATGATCTTAATCGAACTAGTGGCTGAGGATATAGGCTGCACAGTTCCTGCTCTCCTAATTCACTTGGTCTTGTCTTCACCACTTGTGATTCTCCTCCAGCGAGGCACAAGTTTTTATGAGTAACTTTTTCGTTTCGATAAGTCTCGAAACGACCAACTATGTCTGATATACTGTGTATATATCGCAAGTTAAAGCTTGTTCCAGGTACGCATTCGTCGAAGGTTACTGCGGTGATCCCATAACCTGCAAGTCTCTGTCCTATTTCTGGACTTCGCGGTCCTATTGGGTAAAATTTTCCGACCCAATTAGTCGTAAATTCTGTGTTAGGTGGTTTTCCAATATGGAAATTCGGCACTGGTTCAGCATGCGGAGATGCTAGTGCCATAACCATATCGCCAGCGATACCAAGAGACGGTATTTCCTCAAATGCATTGTGATTATCCGCGTTTACCTCGGCTGCGTGATATCCACCAAATCCTTGAACCACAGTGATTGGAAGAGGTGGGACCTCTAGTCTCGTTTCCTTTCCCATTTTAATAATAATATTATTACTTCAAGTAGTCGTAAATGTAGCATTGCAGTCGCATAATAGGGTATTTCCTCACGGGCGAGCACTCTTTCGAGTTGTTTCTCGTCTACTCGGTAGCCATCATACACTTCTGCCGCTATATCCACAATTTTACTGTAGTTGGCGGAGAATGACTGTTTTCGTGCTATTTCCGTCTACGCCAAAGATAGCCTCAGTTATCAGAGAATCATTTTTCTGCGGGCTCTCCTTAGTTTGTAGATGTGGTGGTGGTGGTGGAAGCATTGGAGATTTTGGACCTGCCTTTGATTTCAGAGGTGTCTTTGGAATATTTCTTTTTCCAACTTTAGCTGGATCGAAATTTTCCGGTTTTCCTCTGTAACCAGGCGCAGTCCTCATTATCTCTTCAATGGTGTATTTTTTTCTTTTCTACATCGGCCATTTTGCTTTAATGTAGGTTTCCTTATTTTTCCTTACCGGAACCAGCGAAACAAACTGGGTTTTACCACACAGTACAAATGCAATTCATAGAATACATCTACTGAATAAATTGTGCGTTGTAATAGGTAGGACGCCAGCTCGTTCTTGTAGGTCCTAATTTTCTCCACTTTCCTAATTTGAATTGGTAATTTAGTGTACAGTTTTATTCCTATATTCACCGCACGTTTCTTGAGAATATTTGTTCTACGGAACTGGACACGGAAGTCCAACTTAATGGGGCATCTTCTCTCAATTGTATACATGCATGCTAAGGGGAGTATCAGTTGCCTACATGATGCATATCTCCCCACACCGCTCTGAACTGAAGCCTTCTTGGACTGCACTAAAGAATGGACGGCAGCCTCAGCTGCAGCTTGCTTGGCTAGGTCCTCAGATTTTCCTTCCTCCTGGACCATCAGGCAAACTTGGAGCACTGCTGTGATCTGCTCGAGGACGCGACTGATGGGTGGGTGCACCATTACCGCTCTGTCCTTCACCTGCAAAAGTCAGTGTGTGTACTGGAAACAATATTAACAGAAAAAAAAGTAATAATAAACTTACTAATTTGCAGCAAAAAGCAGTAATGAATGAGTTTGTAGTTTAGATGCGTCATGTTTGTGTTAAAATTCAGTATATATTTATTTATTATTTCAGTCTATACACAAACTTAGTTTTTAAAATGTTGTTGTTAAAATTAAAA